AATGGCTTATTATTAATGTAAAAATTCCTTGTGTATTTAGGCTACCAGGCCGTTGTCAGATGTATGTGTTGCAAAGATTTCCTTCTAGGATCCATTTACTTTTTCTTAATGGTACTTTTTAAAGAAGTTTTAAACTTAAAGTTCCATATTTCTTTTTTTTATAGTTCGTGGATTTTGTGTCCTGTTTTCCCACCTCTAAAGGTATAAAAATATTCTCTTTTGTTTTCTTCTAGAGGTTTTATAACTTTAGCTTTGCCTATATATTTATTTTGAGTTAATTTTAAAATATGATATGCATTGAGAGTCAGAGTTCACTGGTGGACATATGGATTTCGAATTGTTGTAACACTAAATTTATTTTTTTTTAATTTCAAATTAATATGAGGGTACAAACGTTTAGGTTACATTGTTTTCAATTCCAAGGTAAAGTTCAAGATGTAGTTGAGCCCTCCTCCCAGGAGGTCTGCTGAACACTCTCATGTTGTACGCATTAGGTAGATCTTGCTAATCGTCCTCCCTCCTCCCACCAATCATCCTCCCTCTTCCCTGCTACTCCTTTCCTCTTTGCTAGACTATGTATTTGTGTTTCATTGTTCATGTGGGCATGTAGTTGTTCATATATGGGTTTCACATTAGTGTTGAGTACATTGGATATATTTTTTCCATTCTTGAGATACTTTACTAAGAAGAATACAACTCCATCCAGGTAAAACATAAAAAACGTAAAGTCTCCTTTTATGGCTGAATAGTACTCCATGGTATACGTATATCACAGTTTGTCAATCCATTCATAAGTTGATGGGCATTTGAGTTTCTTCCATGACTTAGCAGTTATGAAGTGAGCAGCACTTCTGGTGCAAATGTGTTTGTGGTAAAATGATTTTTGTACTTTGTAGATACCTAGTAATGGCATGGCAGGATCAAATCAAAAGACTTTTAGTTCTTTGAGGATTCTCCATACTTCTTTCCATAAAGGTTGTATTTGCAATCCCACCAGCCATGGAAAAGCATTTCCTTCTCTCTGTATCAGCAGTTCTCAACCTGTGGGTTGCAACCCCTTTGTAACAATGAAAATACGTCCTACATATCAAATATTTATATTACGATTCATAACAGTAGCACAATTCCAGTTATGAAGTAGCAACAAAAATAATTTTATGGTTGGGAGTCACTACAATGAGGAACTGTATTAAAGGGTCGGTCGGGCATTAGGAGGCATTAGGAAGGTTGAGAACCACTGCTCTACATCCTTGCCAGCATCTGTAGATTTGGGACTTTGTGATGTGGGCTAATCTCACGGGAGTTAGGTGATATCTCAGAGTGGTTTTGATTTGCATTTTCCTGATGATTAGAGACAATGAGCATTTTTCCATGTTTGTGTTGGCCATTCATCTGTGTTGCCTTCCAAGAAGTTTCTGTTTAAGTCTCTTGCCCACAAAGAAATGGGGTTCTTTGCTCTTTTCTTATTGATTAATTTGAGTTCTGTGTAGATTCTAGTTATTAGCCCCTTTGTCAGATTCAGAACATACCAAAATCTTCTCCCATTCCAAAAGTGGTTTGCTTTAACTAAATTTATTTATTTATTTATTGAGATAGAGTCTCACTTTGTCACCCTCAGTAGCATGTGGTGGTTTCCATAGCTCACAGCAACTTCAAACTCTTGGGCTCAAGTGATTCTCTTGCCTTAGCCTCCCATGTAGCTGGAACTACAGGCACCCACCACAGTGCCTGCCATTTTTAGAGATGGGATCTCGCTGTTGCTCAGGCTAATCTCGAACCTGTGAACTCAGGCAATCCCCACTCCCCCCACCCCCCCACCCCCACCTTGGCCTCCTAGAGTGCTAGGATTACAGGCGTGACCACTGGGCCCAACCCTCTAACTTTATTTTTTTTTGAGATGAGCTTTTATTGTGTTGTCCAGGCTATTCTCTTTTTTTTTTTTTTTTTTTTTTTTTTTGAGATAGAGCCTCAAGCTGTCCCCCTGGGTAGAGTGCCATGGCATTACAGCTCACAGCAACCTCCAACTCCTGGGCTCAAGCGAGTCTCCTGCCTCTGCCTCCCAAGTAGCTGGGACCACAGGCACCCGCCACAACGCCCGGCTATTTTTTGGTTGCAGCCGTCATTGTTGTTTTGGCGGGTCCAGGCTGGGGATTCGAACCCGCCACCTTAGGAGTACGTGGCTGGCGCCTTAGCCGGTTGAGCTATAGGCGCCCAGCCAGGCTATTCTCAAACTCTCCCTTCACCTCTGCCTCCTGAGTAGGTGGAGTTACAGGAACACCACTGCACGCGGCTCACAGTGTTGTTAAAAAGATAATTCTTTCCCTATCGAATTACCTTGGCATCTTTGTTTAAAATAAATTGACCATATATGTATGGGTCTATTTCTGGACTCTATTCTCATTCTATTGATTCATATCCTATGCCACTGTCATACTAACTTGTTACTATATAGTTTTATAGTTCTTGAATTTATAATCTTGAAATAAGTTAGTGTAAATCCTCCAACTTTTTAATTCCTTTTCAAACTTATTTACTCTGCATCTTTCCATATATAATTTAAAATCAGCTTATCAATTTCCCTAATAAGACCTGCTCTAATATTGCTTGGCACTATTGGGATTGTGATAAATGTAACTATATACATTATTTTGGAGAAAATTGCTATCCTTATAATATCAAATTTTAAATCTACAAACAGCTTTTCTTTTAATTTACTTATATATTTTTAAAATTTATCTCAGTCATTCTTTTAGTTTGCCAAATACAGCAGTATTGTACATCTTTTAAGTGTATTTCTAAGTATTTCATGTTATTTTGCCTTGTTCCTGATATTATCCATGCCTGGTTTTAACATCAGAATAATGCTAATTTCTTAAAATGATCTTGGATGTGTTTCCTTTTTGTCTGTTTTCTAAAATAATTTATGTAGGATTTGGTATTAAAATATGTCACAGTAATTTTTATATGATTAAAATATGAAATATCCTTAAATGTGTGATGATAGATTCTATCAGTGAAGCCATCAGAAGCTAAAGTGTTTTAATGGGAAATTTTTAATTTTGAATTGTTTTTACAAGTAGAGGACTATTTAGACACTATTCTTGAATTAGTTTTAGATCTTTAATTAGTTTTGAAAAGTGACCTATTTTAAGGAGTTTTGACATTTTATTTAAAGTATAGAACTTATTGGAATAAAATTGTTTTTATCCTTCTCTCATTTTGAAGTCTGTATGATCTGTAGTGACCTGCCACTCACCATCTCTGTGAACTTAGGCAAGTTACTTACCCTCTGTGTGCTTTAGTTTCCTCATTGTAAAATGGATTAGTGATAGTATGTACTTCATATTGTGATAAGAATGGACAGTATATACATATAAAGCATGTAGAATAGTAAGAGGCATAGTTAGCACTCAATGAATGTTAGCTGATGTAATTGAAAATGCAGAACTTCCTTAGTTGACCACCTCCCTACATTGACCACCTCCTTCGGTTGACCTAATTTTTGTAGACCAGACACCCACCACATCTATGTATCAGTGGTCAACTTACAGAGGTTCCACTGTATTGTAAGAACTGGATGATGCCTTGTTGATGACGTTGTGGAAGAGAATCATGAGTCGCACAGAGATTGAGAGAGATAGGCTCCAAGATCTTAAGTAGTCCTAAGTATATGTCCAGTATTGTTCCAGTAGCTATTGAGTTCTTAGCATGAAAGTATTTCATTTCACAATTGTCAGTTGACTAGCAAGAAAGAAATAACAGCAAATTGGATAGCAGCTTCGATAATTACTTGGGTGTTGGTTTTTAAGACCCACCTTTTCTGTATAGCACTGGACATACATTGTATGTAACTGGTATTTATTACCTGGGTGTTAATTGAATGTATATATTAAAGTGTTCTATAAGATACTTTCAAGGAAAGAATTTCTTTTCTTGGCTCATTTTATTTTACTCAAGAAGGGTGATGCATATGGCATTTGTATTGCATATACAGGGTGGCCATAAAGTTTGTGTACAATTTAAAGTAGTGTGCAATTTAAAATAGCACATGAACTTTATGGCCACCTTGTATAATACTTTTTATGTCTTGCAGATTAGTTTCCAAACCTTTGGTGAAGAGGACCAGAAATGTCATTGGTTATTTGGGATTTAACTGTATTGGTAGATTATCCTTTGAATGAGAAAGGATAAAATAAAAAAACATTGAGTTACAGTTTGTGTCGGGGATCAATAATTGTTTTCCTGAAAAGGGCCAGTTAGTGGATATTTTAGGCTTTTAAGGCCATATGGTCTATGTTGCAACTATTCAGCTTTGCTGTCATGGTGCGGAAGCGTGCTTAAACAACAAATAGTAAACAAATGAGTATAGCCGCATTCCTATGAAACTATTTACAAATATAGGTGGCTGATGGGCAACATTTGACCTATGGGCCTTAGTTTGCCACCTTTTATTTTATTTAAGAACTATATAGTCAGAGATTTGCCTGAATCTGCCCTTTCATTTAATATTTGATGGACTTTCTTCATTTGTTCTCTGTCACTCACTGATGGCGAAGATTTATACAAGTATTCATGTTGGCAAACTCTCTAGGAAATATGTACGTATGTGGCTTCTATTTTAGAGTATGGGTGAACATCCATTGAAAAATACTAAAGTCCAGGACAGTCTTACAGATAGATTATAATTTTTAAACACTAATTTATTGAACAAATCTTTACTGAGTACCTGCTGTTGACTCAGTGCTATCCCAGGCTCTGATCTTGATGAACAACATCTCCTACACTGCCCTCGTGAAACTTACAGCCCAGCAGGTAGGCAGAAACTGAACAGTTGATTGCAGATGTGTTATATATTTTCATAAACCACATTATGTAAACCACTGTGATATCCTTTATTTTAAGAAATAACTGAAGTTTCCAAAATTTCTGCATACAGCAGTCCTTCCTTAGATGAGGTTAATTACAGGTAATCCAATTAAAATTACTTTACTTTTTCTAAGAAAAGAAAAGAAAGAGAACAAAAAATAAATAAAGAAATGGAGGAAAAAGCAGCAAAGGAATTGGAGAAAGAACATTTGCAAGAAAAAGCAAAAGAAAAATATCAAGAATGGTTAAAGAAAAAAAATGCTGAAGAATGTGAGAAGAAGAAGAAAGAAAAGGTATTTTTATTAAAGTGACCAGTTAGAATACATGCTTTAATGTTCATATGTGCCAACTATATTTTTTAAAAAGTACGAAATAAACCACACTTGAAATAAACCTCACACTATCTTAGCATAAAGTAAGTACATGAAGTTATCTCTATTCCATTATGCGATGTTTAAGCTTCAAAAACAATTATGCATTTGTCGTTTTCTTACGTTGAAAATATTTATCAGCTGTTGATATTTTTTCAATCAGATTCAAGACTTGTTATTCCTTTTAAATAATTTTTGATGTACTTTCATGGCAAGTGTTATTACCATATTATTACCATATTATAAATGTTCTTTTAAAACAGCAAATTGTGGGTTTGACATTTTATTGTTGTTCAGAAGTAAACACCTTAATATTACATCTCTAATCATGTTCACTTTTGCACTCACATTACAAAAATATGATTCAGTATCATAGGCAGTAAGCTGCTGTGCTGGGAAGCTACATTCGGCATTTCATTCGGTAGGATTTGAATGGAATTTTAAGTTACAGAATCCCTGGAAATTCTTTGGTCTTGTCATTTTAAGGAAAAAGAAAAACAACGGCAAGCTGAATTACAGGAAAAAAAGGAAATAGCAGAAAAAAAGTTTAAGGAATGGTTGGAAAATGCAAAAAATAAACCTCGTCCAGCTGCAAAGAGCTATGGTTATGCCAATGGAAAACTTACAGGTTGGTTTTTATGTTGTGTGGCTTATATAAATATGGCTTGCAGAAGCAAATATTATACAGTTTGTTTCCTTTTGACAGAAATAGAAATGTGTAAAAATCATTTATCTTTTAAATTACTGTTTTCTGGAAGATTATGTTACACTCTGTTTCTATGGAGATATTACAAATTTATTGTCATTCTCCATAAATCAGATACATGTATTTCTTAGAAGCAGAAGTTGCAAAACTGCAAACTTATGTTTTAAAGTAATGATTTCTAATATTAGGAAATAAGTAAAGTTCTCTTATATTTCTTGGATGATAAAGCCCAAATCAGGACATATTTAGGGGGTCATTTTGCCTCCCCTCCTTCTAACCCTGTCTAGGCTAGAGCTTCCCATGTCCTTGGCATATTACCTCTGCAGGGTGGAATAGTAGACAGCACATCAACCAGACAGAAAACCACTTGGCCTTTAGGCTTGGGCTGATTAGAAATGGCAGTGCATGTTTTCCTTTGTGCTTCATGTTGGAAGGTCATACCTTGCTGACAGCTGCCTTCACTTGTATAAGTGATTTATTATTAAAATACTCCCATTCTGTTTTGTTCACACAATAGAACATATTCCAGACTTTGTTTTGGCCATCTTGGTGAAGTGTGTGTTGACATATCTATGCAGAGTGGGTTGCCACTGTCTGAAAGACACATTTCTGCTGTCAGGATTAGGCCTCTCTCCTATGTCATGAAGGTCATCCATTCTAGCTACTGACCATGGCCTGCTTTTTTTGTTTTTTTTTTTATTTGAAAAAAAGAGTAAAAAGCAGTAGTTTTAACCTAATAATTGGATAGTAAAGTTAAAATTTTGGGTGGGAATATACATATTGACTAGGTGTTAATTGCTGAAATAATACATTGCATTATTAATTTTTTGCATTTTTAATGAGTTTAATTCTAACAAGCAGCATATTTGTCTATAAATGCTCTTATGTCTATTCTTCATGCTCATGTTAGTTTTGTAAATTATGAAATAAAGGAATTTTTTGTGCCTCTAGTAACAAAAGGACTTGGAGATGCTTTGCACAATGTTTCTTCATGGTCGTTAGACATCAGGCGTCAGAGTTCTTGAAACGCTTCATATGCATCCTAAGTGGGAGAACATTCCATAATTAGTGATCAGAATTACAGTGATATTGTGAAATCTTACTGAGTGGCAGTACTTCAGAATGTTTGTGATTCTAAGCAAGAACCTTGATTCATTTTAACTACATGTGAAAATAAATTTTTTTTATGTAAACATTAGTGTCTGACAAGGAGAAGCTAGTGCACAATCAGTTTTTAGATTGAGTTAAGAGAATGATAAGAGAATAATGAGTTAAGATATTTTTTAATTTGAGTGTTCTAAAATTAATTTCTTAGTAAAATTTTTCTAGGAGTTTATATTTATGTAGGTTTTTACATTAACATTACTAGAATTATCATTTATGTTTTAATTTTCATTATAATATTTACAGTGTTTTGGAAAGTATTAATCTCTGAAAATATTCAAGAGTTCAAAGTTTAAATGAGTCAAATTGGTTTATCAGTGATATTTTGCTTATTTGACATTTTAACATTTCTCTGGGAATTTTAAAATAAGCGGGCTTTTTGATCTCAAGAAGTTTTTATTTGTTTTGTTCTGATTTTTTAATAATTTTAGGTTTTTACAGTGGAAATTCTTATCCAGAACCAGCCTTTTATAATCCAATTCCATGGAAACCTGTTCATATGCCCCCTCCCAAAGAAGCTAAGGATCTATCAGGAAAGAAGAGTAAAAGGCCTGTGATAAGTCAGCCACACAAATCATCTCTGGTAATTCATAAAGCCAGAAGCAACCTTTGCCTTGGAAGTCTGTGCAAAATACAAAGATAGCACATGTGGGAAATAGCATGTTTTTACCTGGAACTATTTAGTTTTAAAATCAGGAATTGTTTTTTACTGCTCAGTCAGTAACTCAACATTTAATTTGATTATTGACAATTCCTAATTTTTGCATTTGTATTTGGATCCTTAGAGTTAATTGAGGAAGATATTTTCTACATGTTGGCTTTTTTAAGCCTTTCAAGGTTGATTTTGGCTTATTGTTTTACAGAATAAGTGACTGAATTTGTATTAATTTTGCTTGTATTTTGCTTATATTGAAACTATACTGTAATACCAATAAAACCAAACTTTTTCTTGTGTTTTTTCTTACTCTGTTATTATTAACAGTTTGCATTTATGGACATAATTAGATTAGCTTGTTCAAAGAAGCATTTTCAAACTGTACTTGGACATTCATTCAGCCCGCCGGGTGACCAACGATCTGAGGGACAGTGAACTGGCCTCCTGTTTAAAAAGTTTGAGGACCCCTGTTTTATACTCTACATCTTAGACTGATGTGTAGTAATCTTGAGACACTCCACATTTTTCTACACTTATAAAAATGTAAAAACACTTATACATTAATTGTAATAAAGTTGCTAGCTTTAAAATTAGGATTATCAGTGTATTATATTTTAATATTAAAAATGTTAAATGTCAGATAATATTTTATTGAGATGGAAATTACAGATCTTATAAATAAATAAATACATTTTCGTGATAGTAGTTCAAATGGTTACCAAAATAGCACTTCTCACTTTTTGTTAAAGCCTTATAAAAGTATGTATCTTCTTTAGGGGATGACTGAGAAACAAAAATTTACTGTGGCAGTGTAAGGATCAGTGAGTTCATTTAAAAGCCATTCCCGTTTAGGGTATGTTTCTGCTAGATGAGTCGTCTGCCAAGTTTCTGGTGATCTGCAGTGTTGTTTGTCAATGCAAGAAAGCAACAGCCGAATCTTTAAAAGGGTGTTCATCCCATCAGAAACCCAGGAGCATTAACTTCTAAGCAGAGAACAGTTTACTAGGAACCAGTAGGGTTTATTGGGTCAAAATATGACTCAGGTTTAGAAGCCTGACCATATACTTCTTAAAACCTCTCAGATACAGTGAAACTCCAGATGATTAACCTATTTAAGGAAATTCGCCTATATAGAGACAATGTAGAATTTGCCAGGGTAGCAATAATCCTGCGTATAAAAAACATGTATGTGTTTGCATGTCCCCGAATTCCTGGAGGTTTTAGACATAGTTGCTATATCTAATAAGGCTTTAATTTCACAGAGTAGCTTAACTTACAGCTATTAATGATAACCCCAGTAAGACTTTTCAATCATTGAAATATTAATCATTTATAGATATGTATCTCTTGAGTTAAGAATTTTGAGTTTTATTCTAAGTGTAATGGGAAGCCTCTGGAATATCTTAAGCAGGGAATTGTTAGGATCTGGTTTATACTCTGATTACTCTGGCTGCTGTGGGAAAATGGGCCTGTTGGGGTCAAAGAGTGGAACCAGGGACACTCAATGGGAGGATTTTACAGTATCCAACGAAGTCATGACAGCGTGGATTAAGATGGCAGCAGTGACACGGTAGGAAGTAGAGGCGAATTAGGGATGTTATTTAGAGGTGGAGCAAATAAGACAGCTAACATTGGATACCAGATTGAAAGAAGGAGGAAAAATCAGATGTGACTTCTTGTTTTTTACCTAAAAAATAGGTGAATGATGATAACTATAACAAATAGGAAGATTATAAGATGAAGTATATGGGCCGAGATGGTGAAAGAGTGGTCTTTAAGAATGCCGTCCTAGATTTGTTAGGTTTGTAGTATTAACTTAATATTCTGGTGGAGACGGTGGTTAAATATATGTCTCTAATGCTGAGGAGAGAGAGCCAGGATTGAAGATAGAATTTTTTTTTTTAAGACAAGATCTTCCATTGTAGCCCAGGCCAGAGTACAGTGGCATCATCATAGCTCACAGCATCCTCAAACTCCTGGGTTCCAGTGATCCTCCTTCCTCAGCCTCCAAGTAGCTGGGACTATAGACATGTACCACCAGGACTGGCTAAGTTTTTAATTTTTTGTAGAGACAAGGTCTTACTATGTTGCCCAGGCAGATCTCGAACTTCTGTCCTCAAGTTATCCTGCTGGGATTACCAATACGAACCACCATGCCCAACTTTGGAGAGGTAAGTTGGAGATGCATTAACACATACATAGATGGTATTTAAAAGCATGGGGCTTGATTAAGTTACCGAGGAAAGTTAGAGAGCAGTTTGGCTAGTTAGTGCCTAACTGAATCTCTAAATATTTAGAGATTGAGCATCCAGCAGGGATCCCGAAAACAAGCACCCAGTGAAACAGAAGGAAATGATAGAGTATGAAGTCACAGAAGCCGTGAGTGGAAAGGAATTGTGAACGCTGTCTAGTGCTGTTTGAGAGACAAGAGAAAGAAAGACCCTTCATTATTGGATTACATAAGATGAAGGTCTAATTTCAAAAAAATTAAAAAAAAATGAAGGAAGGTCATTTTTGTCCACAAGTATTGAATGTCTATATGTCTGGTATTTTTATGCTTTTGTATGGACAAAATATTTTATGTTTTTTTCTTTTTTTTAAATTGTTTAAGATTCAATGAGGGTACAAAGAATTAGGTTACACTGATTGCATTTGCTAGATACAGTCCCTCTTACAATTGTGTCCCACCCCCAAAAGGTGTGCCATACACCGTGACCCCCATCCCTTTCCCTCCTCCCCCTCCCCACTTGCTCATTCCCCTACCCACCCATCCCCGCCTTGTATTAGCTCATCTACTGCCTTCATATTAGAATAGAGTACATTGGATTCTTGCTTCTCTGTTCTTGTGATGCTTTACCAAGAAGAATGTGTTCCACCTCCATCCAGGTTAATGCAAAAGATGTAGAGTCTCCATCTTAATTTTTAATGGCTAAACAGTATTCTGTGGTATACACATTCCACAGTTTGTTAATCCATTCCTGGGTTGGTGGGCATTTATTTAGGTTGTTTTCATATTTGGGCGATTGTAAATTGAGCTGCGATAAACTGTCTAGTGCAAATGTCCTTATGATTAAAGGATTCTTTTTCTTCTGGATAGATGCCTAATAATGGGATTCCAGGATCAAATGGGAGGTCTAGTTTGAGTTCTTTGAGGATTCTCCACACTTCCAAAAAGGTTGCATTAGTTTGCAGTCCCACTAGCAGTGTAAAAGTGTTCCCTACTCTCCACATCCATGCCAGCATCTGCAGCTTTGAGACTTGGTGATGTGGGCCATTTTTACTGGGGTTAGGTGATATCTCAGGGTAGGTTTGATTTGCATTTCTCTGATGATTAGGGACGATGAGCATTTTTTCATGTTTGTTAGCCATTTGCCTTTTTTTTTTTTTTTTTGAGACCGTCTCCCTTTGTCACCCTCAGTAGAGTGTCCTGTGTCATAGCTCAGAGCAACCTCAAACTCTTGGGCTTAAGTGATTCTCTCTCCTCAGTCTTCCAAGTAGCTGGGACTTCAGGTGCCCACCACAGCGCCCAGCTATTTTTAGACACAGTGTCTCACTCTTGCTCAGGCTGGTCTTGAACCTGTGAGCTCAGGCAATCCACCCACTTTGGCCTCCCAGAGTGCTAGGATTACAGGCAGGAGCCACTGTGCTCAGCATCATCTGTCTTCTTTAGAGAAGGTTCTATGCATGTCTCTTGCCCAGTGATACATGAGATTGTTGGGCCTATTTTTGTTGATTAATTTGAGTCTTATAGCTAAGGAAATAATAACCAAAGCAAACAGAACCTTCAGAATGGGAGAAGATATTTGCATTATCATGAATCAGACAAAAGCTTGATAACTAGGATTTGCAGAGAACTCCAATTAATGAACAAAATATTTTAAACCACACGGCAATCCTACCAAGTAGATACTTTTATTATCCTTATTTTATAATTGAGGAAACAGGCACAGAAAAGTTATGTTGCTTCTATACCTAGTAAATCACAGAACATGGATTAGAACCCATGAGGTTAAAGGCCAAGCTTACTATCATACGTTTTTCTCCCCTACCCTGGTGAAGGAGGATTACTTTCTGTAAGATTTCTTTGATATTTTCTAATTTTTTTTAAAGACAGAGTCTTGCTCTATCACCCAGCTAGAACGCAGTGGCATCCTCACTGTAGTGGCATGGCTCACTACAACCTCAGACTCCTGGACTCAAGTGATCCTCCTGCCTTAGTCTCCTGAGTAACAGAGACTACAGCTGCCTGCTACTTTTTTCTATTTTTGGTAGAGACAGAGTCTCAGTCTTGCTCAGGCTGGTCTTGAGCTCCTGCCCTCACACAGTCTTCCTACCTTGGCCTCCCACAGTGCTAGGATTACAGGCACGAGTCACTGCCCCCAGCCAGTGTTTTCTTATCCTTGAATTATTTTTTTAATGGCTATATTATTTTACATTCCAGGTATTCTTTTCTGTATATGCTTTTTTCCATAGCATCCTATACTAATTTTATGGATATAATGTCTTTTCTCATCTCTATGGACATTAACTACAATTTTCTTTCTATTTCTTAATTGTCTTTGTTTTCCTCCAGATGCCTTTTTTTTAATTTCCTCTTTTTCTGAGGTTTTATTAGAGGTTTGCCTCAAATGTTTGCTAATCCCTGTCTGATATTTATAGTCATGATATGAATCCCTGTCTGTTCCTGTTGAAGAGTAGGGCATTAAGAGGCTGAATAGAAGCTATGTGGGCACAGGCAGGACTTGTTGGTGGTGGATTTTCTGTTGTTGTGGGAAGACCAAATATGTGGAAGTCTTTCACCCTTAGGCTATTCAGAGAGGAATCTTCTAATCTTCTAAGGAGGTATAAGCTTAGCTGCCAGGATTCCTGAATGGGATCTGGGAGGTAGTTCTCTACATCACAGTTCATTATGTTACAGACTGTCACCTTCCCTGTGTTTCAGTTTGGCTAGTTGGTGCCTAAGATCTGCTCTCTTTGGTTCCTGAGGTCTCCGTATACTGAGCCTGAGAGCCCATCCAGGGTTTTGCGGGCTGAATCAGTTGTGTGTGTGTGTGTGTGTATGTGTGTGTTTAATGGCAAACCAGCAAAGAAAAAAAAAAAAAACAGGCACCCAGAGGAAAAACAGGCAATTAAGAGAGAGAAAAAACATTGCTATAATTCATTGCCATTAAAATGAGAAAATATTTACCACAGCTATACTACCCTAACTTCTATATCTTCCTCACTCAGTCATTGTATCACTGCATCCACTTTTCCCTCATCCAAAAATTTGCTGGA